CCCCAAAACCCCAAAACCCCAAAACCCCAAAACCCCTATTAATTCAAAATAAATTTTAAGAAGGTATGGTTTGAATTTCAATACTCTAAATAAGAGATAAGGCTTCTGCTTCTTTCAAGATACATCAGCGAGGTGTGTCTTTAGCTAAAACACTTTATACTGATTAGATCAACCCTTTGAGTTTGAGGATTGGCACTTTATGGAAGAATAGTCTGGATAATAAAATATTAATTTTAGCCATTGTCTAATTCTTTTAAGAAACGTATTATGAGGATTAGGTACCCAGATCAAATTTGTCAATAAACCTTTTATATTCAAGAATAGCAGTTATACTTGAACCCCAGTTTAGTGTTTGAACCTGAAAGAAAATAAAAATCTGTTGTCTTCATAAATTAATCATAAATATCCGCAAATATAGAGTTTTCTTGGTCTTAAACAAACTCTAACAAATCACAATTAATTTTAAAATCAATTGGATACAATAAAATCTGTAAGAGATTATTTTTATTCCCTCTCCGAATTTTGCCAAAATTGTAGATTTGGAAAATTAAACATCATTTATGAGGAAACCTGATGTGTCCAAAACGATTCTCATATTTATTTAGAATGGCAGAGTCGAAATGCGCCACTAAAATTGTTTATTCCCCTCCCCACAACTCAGAGAAGGAGAGAATCTGGGATTATGAGATCAAAGAAGAAGAATTTGATTATTATCAAGATCATTGAGAGAGATGTCTCCAAACCAGAAGTTGTTCAACAAAGGGTTGCTTGTGTAAGGATACTATTATTAGCGTTTAGAATGAACAATGCCACCCACTACAGGCAAGAGAAAGACAAGACACCAGGATCTTGGAATTTTACCAAAGTCTCTGTATGTGAAGAGTGAAAAACAAAAGATGAGATAAGGAATCCTAAAAGAATTGGTATATATAAGAAAATACCTATCAAATTTCTCAGCATTAACCAGATGCTGATCAAGTTGCTAGTACAATCCTCAAATAAGGTAAATCTTATCAGGATTAATGAAGAAGATTAAATTGCTTTTGTAATCTTAAATATCAAAATTTCTTTGTGTTTCTTTTTAAATTAGAGAAGATTTAAGTTTTTTCAATTAACAGTTAATGAAAGATCTGTGATTCCCGATAATAATTTGAATATAAACGCTTAAAGATGCATGTAAGATTCATATTTTTGTGAGATTGTACCATAGTTGATTAGTTGATGTTCGATGAACTTTTATTCTATAACTGTCTCTAAGGAATGAGCTGTAGCATTTTAAACAAAATATGACAGCTTAATGTGACAATGTAGTTTTAAAAATTTTGTGTTTTTCTTTTACATATTTAACTTAGCACCTTAATGAAAATCCAAAACGATTCACGAGGAAGAGGTACAGGACTTGATGAGATTAGCTTGTTCAAAAGAGTCTCCTCCCTGATCCCCTTTGGCAACATATTTGTATATGCTTGCCAAAATTGCCTCATGTCCTCTCAGTATTATTCAATAGTGAGAGGCTACTGAGGGGTTTTGGGGTTTTGGGGTTTTGGGGTTTTGGGGTTTTGGGG